TTTCTCCTGATTGAGGGTGTAAAGGATGCAGTAGACACAGCTGTCACTCTTTCCCCTCTTACTGTCCTTGACAGTGGGATGGAACTTCTGCAGTGCCTGATGTTTTCTCTGTGTATTGTACTCATATTCATTAGGGCTATGCAAAGCTTCAGTTGCTGATTCGACTCGGAGGAGATTCAGCCTGATTCGGCAGTCAAATCTCCGAATCCGAATCCAACCAGGAGACCCATTAATCTCTCTGAATTGAACTGGAAGCCTCCGATTCGATTCGGAGAGATTTGATGATTTGGACATAGATACAGCTTTATATGTTTTTTTTTCTACGTACCTCAAGGTACCACGCGGCTCGTGAATGCTGAGATGGTGGGGCTGATGGAGCGTCCCATGGGAGCGTGGGGGGGTCCCTAGCATGCTTGGCGGCGGACCTGGAAGTGGACCAGAAGTACTTCCGGTCCATTTCTGGGTCTGCTGCAGAGTGCACAGGGGACTCCCCACCCCCCGGCTTGGTGACTGGTGCCTCCTGGGTCTGGGGGGACACCCAGGGTCCCCCCGTGGCCAATCGCTGAGGTGTGGGGGGGTCCCCTGCACGCTCAGCAGCAGACCTGGAAGTGGACCGGAAGTACTTCCCGTCCACTTCTGGGTTCGCTGCCAACCATGTGGGGGCCCTCCCTGCACTCCTGTGGGACACTCCTTCCGCCCCAGCATTGCAGCATTCACAAGCTGCACCTGGTACCTCAAGGTATGTAGAAAAGACATATAAAGCTGTGTCTATGGCTGAATTTCTGATTCTCTGAATCAGAATCAAATCTTCAGATTTGAATTAGGCCGAATCAAATCAGGACAGTGATCCAAATTAACATATCAAATCACTGTCCCCTAAATTGGGCTGAATCTGAATTTAATACGGCCCGTTTCACATATCCCTAGTGTTAATTAGTATATTATCTTACTTTTTCATTGTTAGTTACTATAGCAGGGTCATAGTTGTAGAGAAGTAAGGCTGGCAGGGACCTCTAGAGATCATCTAGTCCAACCCCCTGCCTGAGGCAGGATCATCCCTTTCTGAACCATCCCATACAACCATAATCTAAACTCTACATAAGATACCTTCAACACTGATGGAACATAGACTTAACCTGCCATAGGTGAAGCAGGGGAACCATGGCAACCAATGTCCAGCTTCTATAAAATGTTGTCAGTATACACTCAGGAGGTCCTGGGTAGAGAACCATGCCTCTGCTACAGAAAAAATCCCCAGTGTCCATACCATTTTGGCCATGGGGTAAAATTCTTTCCTGATTCCAAATATGGTCTGAGTGGAGGGTCAAGACTCGTAGCCAGGAACGTTCAGCTTTGCTTCTATCAGGAGAACCAGCACACCCCAGTTGAAGTCCCCAGCCTGAGCTGTAGCTAACACACAGTGCCTCTGGGGAGTCTTAAAAACACCCTGGCATGTATAGCCGGAAAAGGGGGGGTGGGCCAGGAGCAACCAGCAAGGCCAGAAGCATGGGAAATGCCCATGATAGAACATAGGCATAGCTATGCCTAGATCATCCCAGACCAGTGGCTGTCCAGCCTCTTCTTGAACGCCTCCAGTGGTGAAGAAGTATTCCGTTGCCTCATAGTGAAGAAGTTTTTCCAGATATCCAATCTAAATTTACTTTGCTGCAACTTCAAGCCACTCATCTGCATCCTTCTCTCTGCAGCAAGAGAGGAAAGGTTCTTTCCCTTTTCCTTATGGCAGCCCTTCAGGTACTTGCAGACTGTTATCTTGTCCCCTCTTAAGCATCTTTTTAACAAGCTGAACATGCCTAGCTCCTTCAGCCTCTCTCTTTGTATGACTTGCCTTCCAAGCCCTTGATCATCTTTGCTGGCCACCTCTGGACCGTCTCTAACTTCTCCATGTCCTTTTTAAAATGTGGAGCCCAGTACTGCACATAGTACTCCAGATGAGGCCTAACTAGTGCCAAGTAGGGAGGCACTATCACCTCCTATGTCTTGCACCTAATGCTTCTATTGATGAAGCCCAAAACTGCATTCATCTTTTGTGTGGCTGCATCACACTGCAGACACATTGAGTGTGTGGTCTACTAAGACTCCCAAGCCCTTTTCCATAAAGTTGCTGGCCAGCCAGGTGTTCTCCGTTTTGTATTTATGTTTCTGATTATTCCTCCGAAGGAGTAGCATCTTGCATTGGTCTGCACTGAACTTTATCCTGTTTGCTCTAGCCCAACTTTCCATCCTCCAACATGTTCACAATCCTTCCCAGTTTCATGTCATACACAGACTTGCTTTGGAAGCTTCCTATGCCAGCAACAAAATAATAAACACATTGAATAGTACCTGGCTGAGGACAGACTCCACTTGGAACCTCCTGCGATTCTGACATGGATCCATTAATAATCATCCTTTGCTTGTGGCTATTGACCCAGTTATCTATCTGCCTTGTAGTAGTTTTATCCAGCCCACACTTCTCCAATTTATTTATGAGAAGGTAATGTGAGACCTTGTCAAAAGCCTTGCTGAAGTCCAGATACACTATAGCCCCGGCATTCTCTTCATCCACCCAAGTTTTTACTTTGTCAAAGAAGGAGATCAGGTTTGTTTGGTACAATTTGTTTTTCATAATTCATGCTGGCTGCTTGCAATCAGCCCTTCTTCCTCCAGATGCTTGCAAATGGCTTTAGGATATGCTCCACTAAATTTCCATGTATTGAGCTAAGGCTAACTGGTCTGTAGTTCTGTGGGGATGGAGTCCATGGGCCTGTGGCACAGGTGCACGCTATGCCCTACATGGGTCTGATCAGACCCTAGAGCTGCACGGGGAGTTGGCTTGCAGAGCTCTGCAGGCCAGATCTAGCCCCCTGCCCCTATGTTTACCAAAACTGTCTCACGAGAACTGTGAGATGCCCTGTCCCCAGGAATTCCACTACCTGTTCTCTTTCCCTGCTACTGGGGAATCCTCTTTTAGGGTTGCCAAACAAGTGAGTGATGGCTAGGCCTGCTCATGCCTTTGTTTTCAGATGGAAGGGCTTGGATATAAACTCATCGGATGGTGCTGGCCAAACCAAATTTGTCCTTGCTCTGGTAGGGTATACATACATTGAAAATGGAATCAGTGTGGTCATGATAAGGTAAATAAGTCTTTTTCATTGCCGTAAGTGTATGCTGTGTTAAGAATGTTTGCTTAAGTTCTATAGGTAATCGTGCTGAACTTTATTATTAGAAACTTGAATCATTGTCTGCTCAAAGGCTCCAATCTAGATTAAGGTGCTCAGCAATGTATGAACAATAAGGAGTTTGCTGTCTAAATAATGACACAAATGTAGAATGCAATGGTGAAGAAGTTTGGGGTCAGAGGAGACTAAGAGTAATGGAAGTTGTGGAAGAGTAATAGAAGTTGCACATATTTTAGTTCAGTGTACAATTTTACACTTAAGTTCTGGGTTTGTATAATGTAAACTCTTCCAGAGCCCGTCCCCTTTGTGACTTGCATTATTTCATTAGTTGGGAAGATGCTGTCTTCAGTATGCACATTCTTCTGCCATCCTCCTTTCTAGTCATTGCTTTTGTATGTATTACAGTTTAGTTCATTTATTCAAATGCTGGATACTCTGTTTACTGCTGTCTTTTAATGACATTTCCGTGCAGTCCTTCTGTTAATTTTTTGAATCTCAGAAAAAAACATCTGTGGATTTGGCTGTCTTGAAAACAGGGCAGTAATCTGAGACAGCTAGAAGTTAGTCTAAATATGTTAGGAATGTAGCAGAAAAAAACTACATGGTTAGACACGTGCCTTACGAAATATTTCCATGAGACTTCACAGATTTCTTCATGTCAGCCCTCTTCTATTTTGAATTCATGTGTGCTACTGACACCTAAATAAATACACATTTGTACTACTTGAATCGCAAAAATACAAAGGCCAAATGCTTATTTTTTTTATTGTGCTTAAAGGGAACTGTTTGGAACTGTGGGTAGATTCTATCCTTTAAAAAGTTAATGGAATTATTTCTTTAACATGTAATAACAAAGTAGTTGATCGTGTGCTGAATTTTTCAATAAGCGCATTTCCCTTTACAGCTTTTTAAATATCAGGCATCCAAATATAAGCATGCAATGCTTTGTTCACTACATGAAGAACTATCTTACATTACTTTTAACATCTGAAAGAACTGTGTTTACTGAGTTCAGTTCAAAATTTCTTTAAGTACAGTTGAGTTTTGCAAATGTACAAGTGTAGATGTTATTGAGGCATATTGGTTTTGAAGCGCAGCACAGATCAATAGCTATCATTGATATTTTTGATTTTGCATTTGAATTAATGAAGAGAGATACCTACTTGTACAAACTTGTTAATGCCTCACTGTGCTTCCTCTAGTCTGCTGTATACTAACCTTAAACCAGCATATACTGCCTGGTCTTTTGGATTTACAGGTAAAATAACATTTTTAAAGGCACAATAGAAAAATGTTATTTATGTGGTTGCTGAAGCCTTTGAAAAATGCTCCTATGCTTGATAAATGTGTAAAACACTCTGGCTCGTATCCTCCAGTACTCTTAATTTCAGTGTGGCCTACCTAGTACACAAGGACTTAGCATTCTGACTCAAAATCAGCAAAATACTGAAGCAAAGAAGTGTAGTAATATTTTTCCTAGGTTGTTTTATTATAAAAGAAACAAATTAATGAATATAGTCTTTAGTCCAGTCTTTTTTTTTCTTATAATTTATTTTACTCTAAAACTTGATCTAGGAAATGCAATACATGGATAAAAAAAAGTAATGGCAAGTGAACCAGCTGTCTTCCCCTTAGACAGTGATAGTGAATCAGTATGCTCACTTACTGTTTCTTTTTAGAAGTATATCTGAGGGTCCAGAAGTGCAGCTAATGTAGTGAAGTTCCTGCATAGGTTGGGAATGTTTGTGTTTAAAAAAAAATTCCAGTCACAGCCAGGTTTATTCTACAAACTGCTTCATTTCAGATGTTCTGTTGTTGTAGGTTCGGTACTCTGCACAGAGCCTGTTTGACTATATGAAGAAAATCCAAAATGATCTGGGTGCCATGAATAGCTTTTGTGAGACATTGCTAAAAGTTTTTGAAGATAACCTGCTGAATGACAGGTAATCCTTCTCTTACATAAAATACTAATAGAAGAATATATACTGAGGAGGTCAGTATACTTTCATAATGTGCCCAATAACAGTATGAAATTACCAGTATTTTGTATACATTTATTTTGATACATTGTAGAATTTTGAAAATGGCCTCAACAAAAAGTCCCAGAAAAGACAGAGCTCTGGGAGACAGTTTTGTGTAAAAAAGGAAGCACTTACTTTATTGTAGCGTTGAACTTAAAACGAACTGCAGTATTTTCATGTAGTGTGACATTTGGAAAATTAGATGCTTATGTGCACTGTCATTGTGTTTTTTGTTTAGGAAGGGTTTCCTTAGGAATATGCAAAGTGTAACTGTCATAGAAAAATGCATGGTCTTGTTGAAAGACCAGATATGTTATGTAGCAAGACTCGTTCACCTAAGCTTCACTTATGAAACTTTTGCAAGTTCTGGAGTTAAGGTTGTGGGTATTTTGTTGTGAAGTTTGGGGGACTATTTTCTGTTCATAACGTTTAGCAGGATTTTCAGTCTTCTTTTTGTTAACTCAGCTGTTGTAGCTGAAAATCTCCATAGCTGTTTTTGCTGCCGTGCCATCTGTTCAGCCTCATTTTGTGCTTAATCTAAGTGAAAAACGTTTGCAACTTTTAATAAACTTACTTAAGTACATTATTCAGATTTGTTTAAAATTATCCTACACTTTTTAATTGTATTTCCAGGTCCCCACAAGCTTAGATCCATCCTGGCTATTGACTAGTTTCTTTCCTTTGGCTGCAACAGAATGTCTCTCTTTCCGCCAACTAGAATGATTTAGCCAACTTAGAGGAGTTACCCAGCAACCTTTCTCAGTGGGTGGGGTAGAATTCTAATTGAAATGGATGTATGTAGATAGCAGGTCTCTCTCCCCTCCCCCTCACTTGCTTTCAATAAAAATAAGCATATACATGATATCTGCCAAGAAATGTATTTGTTGTGCACATTTTTTTATTTAGGGTTTCTGTACCTCTGTTGAAGATGCTGGATCAAATGCTGGCCAATGGTTGCTTTGATATTTTCACTACTGAAGAAGAGTAAGTGTTAATTATTCTCTTTGGAAATTCCGGTCTTATATTGGATGACATGAGAGGGGAAAGCTTGTGCAGCAATTGATTTCAAGGTTAGCGTTACTGATGAGAGCACTCTTTCTAATTCAGTAATTTAGTGGCACTGTTTTTAGGATCAAAATTTGATCGTCCATTCCTTGTCAGTTGTCTTTTCTTTTAAGATCTCTCCTGCTGTTGAAAAAATACTTGCAAAAGCTGCGTTATGGTTGCTGGGAGCTTTTTTCTTGCACAAAATGCTAGATGCTTTTTTAAAAATTTCAGTAAACGAATCAGGGTACATATAGTGGGGATGCAGAGAGTCTGGGAGTGCTGCCTTACACTGAGATGCACACTACTCTGTATGGTAGGTAAAGTTATTATTTTGTTTGAATTTCTCTGAAGTTTATTGGGACAGCTCTCAAGGAAGGTTTCCTCTTTCTCAGTGCAGCAGTTGGCTCTTTCAGGGCTTTATGACCAGAAAATGACACAGGTTCATATTTTCACTTAGAAAAGGTAAGGCCGTGCTAGATTGTAGTATTGCTGAGAGTTTGTACATTTTCTAAATGCATATTTAGGGAAATAAATATATATTTTACCAGGCAGTGTACATTTTGCACAATTTTCCTATTGTGACACCCCAAAATAACATTCCCCAGATGATCTGTCAGTCGTAAAATCCTACAGCTTTTGTTTTAAGTGAGTACCCTCCAAGAAGTCTGTAACACTTTTTTTTTGAGAAAACAACAACAGAATAAGGCTCCCACAGTTCCATGGCTAGTATTCTGGACAGAAGGATGTTAGGAGTGGACAAACATGAATTATGGCCTTGTAATAACAGATTTTCAGAGCAGTATATTTTAATTTTAGTAAAATTAAAATTTGTTTATGCTGAAATCAGACATGAAGTATCTGAGCACAAGTGCAGATAGATGACAGAATTGTAAAGCACTTAGGTCACGGTGTGCAGTTTTTTTACTAGATTTGAAATACATTTTTTTTAATTGTGCCTATAATTTTAAAATTGAGCACAGGGGATACACTCTTATAGTATGAAAGTGTTAATTGAGTCTATCAGTACTTGTAATCATGCACAGGTATGCTCTTTCAAAGTAGTAACACTATCTATGGGTCATAGAACATTTAATTAATTAAAATAATGATGAAATGAATAATTAAATATTACTTGGGCCAGAGAGTGTGTGTGTAAGACTAGTTTAGTAGTTAGCATTTTCACTGGAGATCTACAACTCCCCAGTCTTAGCTCCATTGAAGATTCAAAGCTTGAGAGGCACTCCCACTTCAGGAGATCCTGTAACATAATGGTTAGGGTACTTTGTTGGAGGTCCATATGGGTTTGAGTCCCCTCAGGAAAAGGTGGAATTTGAACCCACATCTCTCACATGGTTAATTTAATAACTTAAAATAATCATTTGCACAGCCCTAGGTTATCATCCTTGAATTAGGGAACAGAAAGGAATGAAGCATTTAGGAAGTTTCCTTGAGAATGTGCTAATGAAGATTCCATTTACTGGGGAAGATGTTAGATGGGTGAATTTGGTTCTGTTTGTGTTGCCGCATGTCACAATAATTCAGTAACTTATATATATAATACACCAAGGTAAACTTTATGCACCAGGGTAAACTTAAGCACTTTGTTGTTTTGGGAAAATCGTGAAAGGCAATTAAGTACTGACCATCTCACTGGTGCCTGCCAGACTGCAGTTGGATGAAGTCCACTGCTTTTTGTGTGAGAGAATATGGGAGAGTGTAACTGCTGGACCAGACTTTTTTCAGCAGGACTACTTGTATGTTCCTTCATCCAAAGAAGTGTGCCAAAAAGGATGTGAAAGTACAATGCAGAATAGGTTAGACTGAAATGGAGACACACTACCCTGTATCATGCAGCTTTTAATCTCAAAGCTGCACTGTATATATAAAGTGAGGCTAGAATGGAGGGAAAAGGAAGGAAATGTTTTTTTTCCTCACTTTTAATAGGTCAATGTATGCATCCAACTTAAATCAGAAAAACGATTTATACTGTTTATTCAGTATTTAATATGACCAATGTCCAAATGCTTCAGCTATGCAGTACATTTATGCTAATCTTGCCTTAGTGGGCAGGAGAAGGAAAATTAGCATGGTTTGTTTTCATTTTTCCTAGTCTGCTCATCTGAGCCTTAGCAAGATAACTTTTGATTTAGCATGTGTAATTGTGCTGCCACTGGCTGCTTGGCCTTCAGTAATCTATGGTTAAATTAAAAAAAAACAACAAATGAATCTTTGCAGGTGCCTGTTTTGGGGAGGGGGTTGATTAAAAAATGATTTTTTACTATACCAGACCTTTTTTCTAGCAGTATCTACAAAATGATATCCATAACAGGTACATAACCAGTAAATTATACTGGAATTGTTATTTACTGGTAAATTTAAATAAGATTAATGGCTGTTGGATAAATGGTAGTAGGAAATAAATACTTGATAGAAACTTGAATTGCCACTGGATGTCACTCTTGTTTCAAAGGAGCATAGCTTGAAGTGAATTTTCCTGCCTGTTCACAAGATGGACCCTAAAGCTGGGTTTGGAAAGAGCAGTCTCATGCTTCTTTGAGATCTCTCCAAAGGATTTTTAGTGCTCATAAAACTTGCTGTGCTAACAATGCCAGCTGGAAGAGAAATACATCACTAGCAATTTTTTCAGCGCTGCTCTGCCAGTGTGCTTCAGCCCTGACTATTTGTTACCTCAAAGATGGAGAAAGATCTTTAGTCGCTATGACTTATTCAAGTCCTTTGCGACTCGGCTGAATCTGCCAGCATGGAGGCTGATTGAAGTGCACGCTTACCTTCCAGGAACTGGAATGAACCACCAGTTTTGACTTTAGTTCAGGGCTGTCCAACTTCTAAGCAGCTGGGGGACACAGCCGGCTGCATGAACAGGGCCTTGCACCAATGTGGGACACAGGCCCTGGGCTGCACACCATGCATCTGTATGGCCCCAGTGTCACCCTCAGCTTCCAGCAACCTGCCAAGTTGTACCACCACCCCTGTGTGGCAGGCACATGAAGCACAAGCTGGAGGAAGGAGGAGGAACCTGAAGACTCTGGTTGCTGTTGCAGGTTGATCAGTGTAGGGAGCTGCAGCCAGGCAGGAGTTCAGGGGCCTCACCTTTGACCCCTTGTTGGCCCCGTGGGCTGCCAGTTGGACAGCTCTGACCTGGTTGATCAAATGGCTACTCGTAACAGCTTTGTTCCATTGTTCTTGTGTGTTGCTGAGGTTAAAAGTTCTGCCTTCTCATGAGGCTTCCCTTTTCTCTGCAGTAGCTTTCCCAGAGATGTAATGGTCTGCTGCCTTTTGGCACACCATGAACTAAACTTGAATGTTAACTTAATTTCAGTTGAGAAACTGTTTGTATCTGTATTCTCCTGGACTCTTCACAAGCCCTCTGTACCCCAGATAATAATAGCTACCTGGCTATTATTGTTCAGAAAGGGTGGCAGAGACCAGAGTGCAATTGACCTATAGGGGCTGTTGTTTTAAAGCCCATTGTAGCCTAAATACTGTTTACTGGGGTTTCCAAGATGTCCACTGAAGACCGGTCCAGTAAATTGCCCATCACCACCTTGCAAGGACCATCCCATTGTAGCCAGTGAGCAAGCCCTCACCAGAGGGGTTTGCAGTCTCTCAACAGCCTGGTAAAATCTTCCATTCCTAGACCTCATGGGGTTAAAGTGTTCGAACTTGGAGTTCTAACATATGAATAGAAAGTCTAACATTTGAAGCAAAGTGTTTAATTTATCATTTTACTGACATACAGTACACTTGGCAACATAATACAATACAAATAGTATCTGTGTAGTCATCCATTAGGCATAATAGTTTGCTGAAGGTTTTATAAACTGCCTTAAAGATGGCACGTGTCATTACTGATCTTGAACAAGTGGCTTTTATATTTTCCATACTACTGTTGATTCCTTTAAGTAGTGGTAATTCCATTCCTAAGTTGAGCCTAAACTGAAAAGGGCACAGCATGGCTGTCCTCTGATTTCAAGACCACCTCAAGTAATATCATGATTGATCTAATTGAAATTCAGTTCACCTTAAAAAAACACATTCTTTTGCAGGAACACGTGTGCCCAATTTACATAATATAAAGACTTTAGACTGATCCCTTTTCCCCAGATACTGATTCTATTTCTGCTGGAGCTGTGCCTGCACAGGAGAAGGAATTTTCTCAATTTCCTTTAAAGAGGCCAAGCTATTTGAGTCATTTGAGATCACACATAGGTTAGGTTTAGTTATTACAAATGTGAAATTGGCAGATGACAGAAAGGAAAGTGGGCCTGTTTTAAACGCAAAATACTGCACATGAGGTTACATGTGCTAAATTTTTTCCAGATGCTCTGTTCCAATTGGTCTCTTTGTTGCTGTGTTTTTCAGCAGTGTTCATATTGTCGAATCAATTTAAAATCTCACCTAATTTACCATATTGCTGTTGTCCTGTGCTGAAAGGCAGGCTTGCAGGTACTGTAATTAATCTTTTGTAAACTTCAGCCAGTTTGTGAAACAGCCTTGTATAACTGTGAAAAAAATTACCAGCTCAGGGGCTAAAAACACCCAGCCTTAACATTAAACAGCATTCTGCATGCAGTTTCTGTCTAACACCTGCCTAGAGAAAGATCTGTTTTTGGACACACGCAAGTCCACAGATTCATGCATGCGAACACATACTACCCCCACAAGTGTTCCACATACACATGCTTCCCACTACTCTCTCACTCTTCTCAGGGTTGGAGTAATGCTGAGGCAAGTGTAGAGGACTTGTCACTACATCTTCTGATATGGATATCATGGCCAGTTCAGTGTAAGTGATGGCACTACTTTAATGCCTCTTTCTTAAAATAGTCTAAAGCAGGGGTTAGCAACCTATGGCCCATGGGCTGAATCTGACCCATGAAGAAAGTGGATCTAGCCCATAGCAGCTCTGGGCATTGGCAGCATGCTGCAGTCCAGGCCCCAGAGGAGGTATCCCTAAGGTCCTACCATCTGCCTTGCTCCATCTATTCTTTCTGAAGCATCTCCTAATCATGCTGCCCCACCACCTTGTTCTGTTCTTACAGCCTTGTTGAATTTAACCCTTTCTATTGCCATTGGCCACTTGAATTGATGGCAAGGGCAAAGCACAGGCACCTTTGGCACTCTAGCAGGCAGAGATTTGTGGCCTGCAGCAGGGTTCTGGGTTACACGTGGCAGCCTGTGGCAGCAAAAGATTGCTGACCCCTGATCTAATGCATATTGAAGCCTATTCAATGGAAATGTTTGTAAAGACAGATGCATGAATTCTTAATAAACTTCTTGCCATTCTAACAATCTCTGTATTGTTGCAAAGTGGGTAATGTGAGTCAGGTTACACTGTACATCTTATTTGATGTTTGTTTGTTTCCACAGCGTAAAATCATAGTGGTAGAAATACATTTCTGGATTTTTGGTCTGTTTTTTTTCACTTAAACATTTACAACATAGCAAATAATTTTGCTTGCTTTTTGTATTAGATGCCTGAGAGTATTGATCAGAAGATTAAATGAAATGTTGTGCAGATATATGAATATAATCAAAGGGCCCATGAGATGAGAAAAAAGGAGGGAATATTAAACAGTTCTGGTTGTTTGTATGAGTGTCTGAAAAAAACGCTGTCGCAACCGTATTTCCCAGACTGTGCAAACTGACTAAATATATTTCAAGAAGGCTTCAAACTGTTACTCCTAGCAGTAAAGCTTTGGAGAACTGCCATCTCTATTTTGTTCAGAATCAGTAAAAGAATGTGGGCAAACAAACTATAAACTGTAAATGTATTTGAAAACATATGATGACTAGGGACTAGATGCTGCAGAAATGCTTGAAACACTTGCATTCTTATTTGGGTATAGAATATTTTTTTACTTCTGCTTTGTCAATTCTGATCCATCCAAGGTTGATAGTAACCACAATGTATAGCCTCTAATTAGTTGGAATAGCTGGAATGAGTTGAGCTATATATTGTTCAACCCCCCTGAAGACAGATACCCACAGAGAGGTCGGTGAGTAAACAAGCAGGAAGGCTGAATATGTTCTTATCTTTATAGGAGGCCCTTCAAGAACAGGGGTAAGCCACAATGGGGAAAACTTGCACTGTTCTTAATTGTGCTGTACCCCACTTGTGAGTATTTGTAACTCTCCTGACCACTAAATCCATTTAGAAGTACGTTTAAAAAATGTCAACCAAAAGTTCTGTTTTGCCTTTCACAAGTTAATAACTAAAATCCTTTTAAAATTTCCAGCCATCCATTTTCAATGAAGTTACTTATGCTTTGTAAAGAAGAGATCAAGAAATCCAAAGATATCCAAAAACTTCGTTCCAGCATTGCAGTGTGAGTCCATAAAAAAACCCTCTCTTTTTTTTAACTGCAGGAAGTGGAGAAAGGCTCAACTTCTGAACATATGAAATGAGAGCTATGGGGTGGAGACTGAGAAATTGTTCTCCTTGGTCTAGTTGGCCTGAAATATATCTGAAAAGCGCACATGTCTATGTATCTGAAGATTCTGTGATCTTTATACATTCTTTTAAAGAAAAATCACGCAAGGAATCAGATAAGATTTGAGTATTTGAGCTTTCTGCCAAAGTGATTAAACTGCCTGTCTTAGAGTACATTGTCATGAGATTTTTGCTTCTGGAGAGCTTGATTCAAATGCTGCCTAGGTAACAGATGGTATTAAGCAAATCAGAAAGCACTTTTGTAAAACTGTTGAACCATTTGGATGTTTTGCTCTACAGAAGTGCACAGGTGAAGCAGGAGGGAAAGTTGCAGATCAGCAGGGGTAAGGGCAGGTGATGTCACAATAATGTTGTGAGTCTGGATTGAGCCTCCTTGACACAAGTTTCCATGATTGTTGTATGCAGCTGGCTAAATTCGCTCTGGGGGGTAACTCTTTTGGAAGCAATGGTACTATAACAGGCATATACCTGATCCAAAGTGTTAGTGCCTTTAGTTTACTACTAGTTCACTTTTTCTATATCAGTATTTGAAAGTGTTCTACAAAGCTTAAATTGAACAGCCATTCATCTGCACTGCCCTTTGCTTCTAATTGCATCATACATTAGCTCACACTGCAGTTGTTTCCAGTGTGAGCTTGTTTTACTTGTGATTTTCACACACAACCTCTGCTACCTTAGTAAACTTAAAGCCATATTTATATTTGACATAGCTATATGGCATCTCAAACAGCTGACTAACGCTTAATGATTTTACTATACTTTTCCTCAGTGTTTGCTTTCCCACAGTGCTTAGAAAATAAATTAGACTTCTTGAGGGTAGCAGAACCCTTTTCTTTAACATGTATGCGTGTGCACACTGCATTTTTAATCTCATAAATAAAATTACCTTTGTGACTATATTATTAATGGAAACCACTCATGCTGTATACATTCTTGTTTTTCTAGGTTTTGTGGCATGATTCAGTTTCAAGGTGACATGAGAAAAAAAGTTTTCTTTCAGTTGTTTCTTCTTCTTTGCCATCCATTTCCTATAGTAAGTATTGGGGGTGTTGCTTAGGGATTTGGGGGCAGAACTGAATTCTTTAAGCAAGGAAGAATGATGTTAAATATGATATCAGGTGAAAATGGGTTTTAAAGCACATGCACAAATCATTCATGGTTTTCTATATCATTTTGCAGTTTTTTCTCTAGGTGTTAATCATCTGACACCTTTTGGTTCCTGCCTGCCTGTTTGCTTGCATGTTGTATCCACAACCCTTTCCTTTACTATTTCAATTGTGAATACTGTGTGTTAGGGATTGCCTCTTCTGTTTGTACAGCAAGCAGTAATATGGAGTGCCAGTCACCTTTTGGGCTTTTGAGTGCTACTATAATAGTAGTAATTTAAGTAATTCACAATACTAACAGATTCCAGGTGAACCAGGAGAATGTAGGTCCTTAGAGAACCTTTGCTCATCAAAGCTAAAATTGTTAATCTGGTAGGAAGGTTCTGAAGATTTTACCAGTTTGTTTTTAGGGTGTCACATAAAATGCTGGCTTCGGTGCTTAGAGTTAATTTTAATCCACCAAAAAAATCTTAGTGTTGGGCAATAGCTTTAGTAAAAATAGCTCTGTGTACACCAGAGTCTGAATCACCTTATTAATAAGCAGTTTTCCTAGAACAGAGTGTAGCAATTATGGTGGCATCCACAAAGGAAGGTAAAGGAAAGTTAACTTTGCTGGTTTCTCCAGCAGATACAGTAGGACAATTTTTGCCAAATGGAGAAGGGTAGAAAGGAAAGGAATTCTAATTTCAGGTTTCCAAGAAAATCTAATAATACCCAAAGGAAGGCAAATAAATTATAGGTTATTTAAAAGAAAGTAGTTGTGCCCCTTTAAGTTGACCAATCTGTAAAAACAAGGTGTTCTTATGTTATAACAGATTTAAAAATATGAAATTTAAACAAACTCTCTTTGCAGTTTTTTAAACCATGCACTATCTTTATCACCCACAAAGTATTTTTAAACCAGTAAGTAAACATAACATGCAAATGTGGTTTCCAAATTATAAGTAGTAAACTATGCTGAGTACAGTGTGATTTTAACCTTTTGTTCAAAAGTAAGCAGTATCAGAATAAAAAATGATCTTCATTGGCTAGACAACAGGACTTCTGTACATTACCAAAACACTTCAAGACCTTGTTGGTTTTCATGTTGTTTTGTGCTTTCTTGCTGCTGTTTCAGCGACTGTGGATGCCACTGCCTTTGCTTTACCCAACACTGCTCCACTTTAGCTGTCCAGAAAAGTGCTTCTTAGTTTGTTATATTAGTACAGACTGTAATTCTAAAGCTGTGGCATACACTGTAGTTTTAGAACTGGTGAATGTGTGCATATTATTTATATTGTATAGATTCCACAAAATCTCCATACACATTCCAAGGTGAATATACAGTTTTGCAGAACAAAAGGGCCATAGTTGTTTTATTGGTTAGACTGCTGGGGCAGCTGTCAACCTGGGCTCTTGGAATTTGGAAGCATTCCAACTTTAGATATCTAACACAGATCCTCTCTCAAAGACTACTGGGTAAATGAAGGAGTTCTAAAGAGCAAGGAAATGGGTTTTGTTTGTTTTTGTTTTTAAGCACTGCCAGAGTTTGAATTGAATTGAATTGAATGATTTCATAATCATTTTTTTCAGTACTTATTATGTAGAAGAAATTCATGCCAGGTACACTTTTAAATTCTATGTATTTTATTGTTACAAAGGTAACTTAATTTTTTTTCAAAATTTGTAGATGAGGTTTTTCATTTTAGAATTCTAGATCTGGACCATGCCTATGTACATAAAAGCATCAGGTCTGCCATGTTGTGAAGAGGCTTCTATTTCCTCATTCCACAGAAAGGCTACCTTCATCTTATATTAGATTTGTGAATAATGAAATATATACACCACTTAGCCTCAGGGTGGTGAAGTTGTTCCAAGATCAAGACTGATTTGTGATTCCCAGTTTGGAGGATGAATATTTCCTATTGCCAGGCACCCAGCCTACATGAATGTGGTGTAACCCTCACTGGTTCTACACCTTCCCAGGGCCTGCAGTGGATGTTTCTGCGCAGCGTTATGGTAACCAGTCATTAGCAATCACTGGAAATCCATCCTAGGCATGATAGTCAATGGAGGGCTTCAAACATAACCTTGTTCGCAGGAAAAAATGCAAGATGCCAGAGAACTACTTATTCAGGGGAGGCATAAGGCCTGCCTGATGCCTTCCTAACTTTATGGTCTTGAGAAAGTATACAGGAGTCGTCTGGCTCTCCAGGTAACGTTTAGAAGATGACTGGACAACATTTTGATAGCTCCATATTGGACAAAAAGGTTTTGGCTGTGGATGTTCTTCTGTAGATATCCCAGTAGATTCTCCCCCCTGCTCAAATATGCTGTCCCAGAACAATAGTTTGATGCTATCCAAGCCAGACCTGCAGTTTTTGCATATGCAAAATTGGATTTTGGCAGGCTGAGCACACTGACAGAGATTGCTGTCTATAAGGTCAGAAGATTTGTATACCTTCCATCAGGAAAATGTATTAATTCTCTATCTGGGCAGCTTGGAATAATATTGATTCAGTTTTAGCCTTGACATCAAGTTTTTATATTATATCCTGCTCTTACATCAGACAGGAGCACTGATCAATTGCATTGAAGTCTAGCTGGTCACAATATTGGTCCACCTATTGCATTTTGTTTTCTCATAGCCTATGGGCACTTTTACATGTGCTCCACAGAGGGTGGGGGTTGGTCCTTTGCTTAGAGTGGCTCTGACAGCTGCTTTAATTAAAGCGCTGCAGCATCTCGTGTGTCAGCATCCCCACACTTTGAAATGGTGGCAGCGGTGCTTGAACTAAAGCATGTCAGATGAGCTTTAGTTCAAGTGCCCTCACTGCCATTTTGAAGCGCAGTGACGCTAATACACGAGATGCGGGAGGTTGCTGGAGTACAGTAATTACTGTGCTCCAGCAGCTTTGATTAATCAAGTCTGCTCTGATGTCTGATCGTGGTGCTTGGGCCAGGTGCCAGATGATTGGAAGGTAGCAAATGTGGTCCCCATCTTCAAGAAAGGGAAGAGGGAGGACCTGGGCA